TATATGTATCAATGGAATATATTTGGGTCCGAGCCCGAGCCCGGCCCGACCATCGGGCCTAAGTCTTGAGCCTGAGACTGACCCTCATATAAAGCCTGAAGTTCAAACCTGGCCAGAAATTTGAAAATAGTTTTTATTTTTTTTTATTTTTCATTCAATAAAAAGTATTTTATTTATATTATAAACCTTCAAAGCTCAACAATAATAAACATCTCACTATTACTTGAAAAAAAAGAGAAGAAAAACAAAGAAAAAAATATTTTATATATATTATTAAATAAAATATATTTTTATTCTTTAATATATAGTATCAAGTTGGGCTTGGGTTGGGCTTTTTTGAGAAAGCCCGAGCCCGACCAAAAAAAAAGTCGAGCTTGGTGCTTTAGGCCTGAGCCCAAGCCCGCGGGCCTAAAATTATGACCAAGTCTAACTTAATAACGGGCCGGGCCGGGCCAGCCCGTCAAGCTACCCGGCCCATGAACAGGTCTACTCTCAAGCTATGAGGTACCATGAATGACGTATGTTAGGCGATGAGTGAAGAATTTGATGCCCATATGAAGAATGATCCATGGGTATTACTAGGGCGGAGCCAGGGGGTGGCGGAGGGGGGCTATGGCCCCCCCTATGCCTTCAAAATTTCCAAAGACCCATTTAAATTCTACTTATATTTTGGCCCCCTTACCCATGTTTCTTAGCTTTTGGCCCCCCCTATCCATGTTTTCTAGATTTTAGCCCTCCTCAAGAAAAAATTCTAGCTCGGCCCTTGGGTATTACTTCCTTCTCAGCCTCACATGAAACATTACTGGTTCTAGCTAAATGGGTGTATCATCTTAAATACAATGCGGATGGTAGTTTACAGATATGTAAAGCATGCCTTGTTGCTCATGACTTCTCGACAAGAGGGAATTAATGTTGGTGATACTTTTAGTTTAGTTGTTAGTTAAACTAGCTATCGTAAGTGTTGTTTTGAGTATTTTCATTGCTAAAGATTGGCCCATTAAGCAACTTGATATACATAATGCTTTCTTACATGGTAATTTTAGTGAAGATTTATTTAGAACAACCTAGTGTTTTGTTGATTCTTATCCATCCCATGTTTGAAAATTAAAGAAACCTCTCTATGGTCTCAACCTAACTCCTAGAGCTTGGTTTCAAGCTTAACACCAAGTTAATTGATTTTGGTTTTGTTGTTTCTAATGCTAATTCTTCCTTGTTTATTTATAATCAGCATAGTGTTCTCATCTCTATTCTAGTTTGTGTGGATGATCTTTTGGTGACGGCTAATTCAGATGATGTTCTTTCCCAATTTCTCTCGTTTTAAGAACACTTATTTGCCTACAAAGATCTCGGCCCTCTACACTACACATCTTAAGTGTTAAAGCAACTAGAGATTATTAAGTTTTGCATTTATCTCAAAAAGAAATATATATTTGGCTTGCTTCTACATTACAATTTGGATGGTATAAAACCCATTTCTATGAAGTTAACAAAGCTTGCTAATTCTTACAAGCCCTTATTGATGTCCATTGATTTTTTTTAAATGTATTCTCGCTATCTCAAAGTCTTGCTTGACTTTGCACTTCAATTTAACAGTTCCTCCAATTTATCTTCGTCTCCATTTTGTGATGTTGACTAGGCTGGATACCTAGATGATTTTCACAAGCAATTTTAGGCACTTACTGATGTTATGGTTCAGGTTGTTTTGTTATAATCACTTAAGGAATAATTTTGTGTCTATCTTTCTTCTTCCCCAACTATTTAGTGTGATAACATCAATGTTACATATCTTGTAACTAATCTTATATATCATGCTCATAGTTAATTTTCACTATATCCGAGATTGAGTGGTTTTGGTATTTTTCATGTCAAATATACCATTTCTCAAGACTAGATTGCTGACATTTTTACTAACGGCCTTGCGTCTTCTCATTTTCAGCTGTTATGGTGAATAGAAGAGAGTCCTTGTATGACTATACCTCTAGAGCTATAGAAAGCCATGCTTGATGCTACTTAGTCTTTCTAGTTTTTGGTTTTGTTTTAATTTCTACTTGTATTTGAACTTGAACTCTAGTCAAATCGTTGTAATATAGACATGAGTTAATAAAGATGAGAAGGTCATGAAAACCATTCTGTTCAATTCTCTTGTAGGAAAAAGCTAAAGAAATAAAGAGAAGTGAAAGGAAGAAAAAAGAACAAGTGCCCTTTAAACATAAATAAATAGTTTTAATGCCTTGAATTTATTTCATGAACTTCTAATTCCATATTGATGAAAGAAAATTTGTGTTACTGCTAGATCACACTTTCTCAATGAACCGTTCCACCTAAAAGCTTAAGCTGTTAAGTGAGTCTCTTGAATAGGTTTTTATTCTCTAATTAACACACTCCCTCATGCAAAAGCTTATTATTGGGCTTGAAGCATGGGCAAGAATAGACTCATCTATTCCTTGTGCTAAAATTTAATTAATTATAATGAAAGCGATGAAGATTGGACACTTGGCCACTTGATCAGCCTGGCTATGATATCATTTCAAAGAACTATTCAACCTAAAAGCTTAAGTTGTTAAGTTAGACCCCTAAATAGGCTTTTATTCTTTAACACAATTCACCAATTGGTCTCCGATGAGATTTCAAAGTAGTGCAAGTTATATATAAATCCACGTTAAGTAGATACTCTAAGGGGGCGTTCTTCTTCTAGATTTTGAGAGGGGGGAAATTTGGTCAATGGGATTTTGATTCCCATTGACCAAAAATCCCATGTTCCTTTTTCAGGTTTATGTGAAGATCAGAGAAAGTTTATTTTCCTTGGTATCACTTACCCATGTAAGTGATACTCATCTCCTAGGTGGGCAAATAACTTTCCCACATTGGGGGAATGTTGCCAACACTTGAATGGGACAAAAATGCCCCTTGCAATAATGGATTTTTATGGCTAAAACGGTCATTGTCTTGTTTGCATGGGAAATAAAAGAACATGGGTAAATGCACTTACCCGGGTAAGTCTTTCCTAGGAAACACTTACCCGGGTAAGTGCATTTACTCGGGTAAGTAAGTTACCAAAAAGCGAACGGGGCCTAAATTGAAATCTGCTCGTAATTTTGCTGACAAAAAAGTTGTCCCAAACAAAACCATTATGCACTGAACTATAGCTGTTTTCTAATGTGCAGCGTAGAAGGGATAAGAATTGGTGAGAAAGACGACTAATTGTTAGTGCTAGAGAGAGAGAGAGAGAGAGAGAGAGAGAGAGAGAGAGTTCAAACACCATGATATTCCAACAGGAAAATGAGAAACAACATACAAAATAACTGCTACTTTTCACATAATGAATTTTGTGAATTTTCTTTTGGTAAATTGTTAATTTTCTGATGAATTTTCTAATAAATACGTTATCATTCTTCCTTCCCTCGTTTGGCAATAGCTTTTGAATAAACTTGTAGGATAATATTCTAAGGCTGTGTCTAGGGTTGCAAGTTGGGCCGGGTTAGGTTGGGTTGAGGCCAATCCTAGCCTAATCCTAAGTTCTAAACCCCCAACCTGACCTTCAACATGATGTACCCAACCCTAAACATAATCCTAACTAAATTTCTTCAGCCCTAACCAAGCCCAACCCAACCTGAAGTTGACTTTGGGTTGGGCCCAACCCAACCTTCTTCCCATCCCTTAAAATCTCATAAAACTATTTAATCTCAAATCTTATCCTATGTTTTATTAGTATTTGTTTGTTGATATTTTTATTGGTTCTTTCAATACAAAATTAGAAAAATAAGTGTTTGAAATGACTATAATTTACTATGAGTTATGAGTTATGATAGATCTTTTATAAGTGCCAAACATTTGAGAGGAGATGAGATGAATAATAAAATATTCAAAAAACATAAAATATGTTATTAATGTTTTAGTCTTTTCATTTAGGATTAAGTGAAATGATTATCTTAAAAAAAAGACATGATAGTGTGTAGTGAGGGCTATACAACTAGCGTACCTCTAAAAAAATCAATGTAAGATATATAATATATAACATATATTTATATATGACATACTATAGAATCGGGTTCGGGTTGGGTCAAGTTACCCAAGGGGGTCAACCCTAACCCAACCCAAAATAAAGTTGGGTTCATGAATTTCAACCCTAACCCTAACCTGTGCATCAACCCGACCTTTTCAGGTTGGGTTCAGGCCAACCTGGCCCAAGTTGCAGCTTTAGCTGTGTCTGGTTTCGGTGCGAATCTTGACTAGGTACAAAATTTATATCCAATTCAATTTTGCTATCCTTTGTAATTATGATTTACATTCTTATTGATACAAATTTTGTACTTTTTGTTTCTTTTGTATTTAATGATAGTGTAAAATTTACACTTCATCCTACCTCAATTATATTCTTTCTCGTATAAAACGGGGGACCACCTTATCATGCATCTTACCTTATTCCTAGACAGATAAACCTCTTCCTACCTCCATTATCTTTCTTATAAAGTGGGGTTCATTTTAATTCCTTTTACTTCTAAACCAGAATTTACACTCAACCCGTTTGCACTTCTATGTAAGGTTTTTAAAACTGGACTGGATAGGGAACTGTTCTGACGTCTAATTCCTAGGTTGAACAGTCCGACCGTCTGGTCCGAATGGACGGTCAGCTCAGACAAAAAAATTAAAATCAATTAAAAAACAAAAAAATAACCAAAAACCGTTGTTTGGGTCAACGGTTCAATGATTTGACCACCCTGGTCAGCAGTTTGTTAACCAAATCAACAGTTTTTGGCCAAAAAACGGTTTTAGGGTGAAATTGAAACGATCAGGTGGCCGTTCCTGGTTTTTCCGGTCCAACCATCCTGTATAGTCCGGTTTTGAAAACACTGCTTCCATGCATTTATATCAGTGCAAATGAGATTTGTAGTGTAACCAAACGCGGCCTAGGCTTCAAGAAACATAGAAAAACTTTCAAACACAGAGATCCGAACGACATGAAAGTGGAAAGGAGGAACACAAAGAACGCATAACCCCAGTTAAAAGAAGTTTGAATATGCATGTTATTGAGTAGAAAAGCCAATTACATGTGAAATTCAAGATATATAGTTTGGTGTATATGTCATACGATTATCCTCCTGGATCTGTTTATACAAAATATATAGAACTAATTACCCTCACTTCACTGCAAAGGGTGAAGTGTCTTACCACAAGTGGGGAGATTCAACGACCCATTTATTGCTACTAGAGCTGCTGCCAGCAGTCTCCCCATCCCTGAGAATCAAAGGTGGTCCTTTAGGCTGAACTGTCGTTGTACTCTCTGTATTGATGAATGATGTAATGGCAGCCGCAACAGCAACCCTGAACTTGGGATCCGAAGTAATAGCACTGACATTTTCAGTTAATGACTTGTCTTCCTCAGCTTTCCACCCTCTCTTGTCTATTATTATTCCTCTGGGGCTAATGAATTGGTGATCACTTGATGACAGATCACCACCCAAGTTAACAATTGTACCAGCTGCATTATGATAACGGTAAGTCAGTTGTGGCTGTGAAGAATGTGAAGAAGTAGGGTGGGAGAATTGTTGTTGTGAGTTGTTGGTAAGGTCAAGAACAATCCCTTTAGAGTGGTCGTTAGTGTTTACGATGCTGCTGATGGTGGTGGATGAATGAGGAGAAGGGCTTATTGAGTGGGGAATACGGTATGAAATCGGTGTTTGTGCATCACTGATGATGCCATCCGAAGTGAGAGCACCAGAATTTGATCTTGATAATAACATAAAAGTGGCTGCACTAGATGTTGTTGAAGCCATGGCGGTCGCACCCACTGGTAATGGATGATTATGCGTTCCCTCATAGGTTGTTATGAGTATAGACATGTCTTCTAGGCATCTCTGTACCTAAGTACATCAACAGCAACAAGAATGGTCCAGGATTAATCAAGTTGGAACATTTTTAAACATGATAATCAATATAAAAGTATTCAATAAAATCGATGCATTATTTTCATCGATTATCGATAAAAACTCAGGCTGAGTTTGGAAGGAATACAAATGCAAATATGTAGAGTGCAAAGCTTTTGTATTATTTTGTATGTATTTATTCTGTACATATTTGCATTTGTACTCCTTCCAAACTGMGCCTCAGCGGATGGAAAATTAATGTAAATGTCAAGCTGAAAACAAATGCGTGAAAATACGAATTGAGGGTGGAGTTTTACATCGATCCATATTTACACTAACAAACATGGATAAATGCGAACCGGCGGTAGAATTTTATGTCGATTCGCATTTACACCGAAAACAAACTTTGGATCACGTACAAAATACCTGTTTCCTTACTGGACATCCTGGAGCTACCGTGCAACGGTAGTAGGCCCTTGGACAAGGGTTTCCTTTTGCAACTTTCTGACCGTATTTCCTCCATTGGCAGCCATCGTTCATCTACATCAATTTTAAGCTTTTATTTTTATTGAATCTCCATTAATGAGTTTGGGAATTTTCAATATTACTATATCTACCTAGTTATGTTAATTTAGAACTCACAGTGGGTGCTTCACATCTTGCTCTGACTGAAACCCTTGCTTTCCTATTGGGTGGGTTAGGAGAATAATGGCTTGTAATTCCTGCTAATTCGCTCTTCAGAAACTTGTTCTGTACTGGCTCCTCACTTTTCATCTCAGCTTCTTTAGATTCATCTCTTCCATGTTGTTGCACACCAGCTCCCATACTCAAGGACAAACCTAAGTCCCCATCTTCACCGTCGTCAGCTTCAGACGGTAGCTGCTGTGCTGATGAATTATCATTCTCTACAAATTTGAGCACTTGTTTGGATACTTGATCAGTTGTATCGGCGTCTCCGTGGAGTGAAAGAAACATCTGAAGATCCTACATCAAGGAAGAAAATTATCGTTATAACAATATTAGACAGGAAAAGTAGACAAAGAAATTGCTGAATCATTTGATCTGGACTAATTAATGAAAGTTGAACTTACTTTTTTTGCGTCATTTTGTTGGATAACTGCAAGTTTCGTCTGAAGATCATAGTAATCTTTCGTAGTCTGTTCAACAACCTTCCTCAACAGTTTGTTTTCCTCTTTCATGCGATCCATCTCCATCTGAAGCGCAGATAGCTAATTCAAAACATAACAGTTAGTTTAATTTCGACAATAAAAACAAGCAACTGAGACAGTGACCGAAACAATCAAAGGATACAAATAAGTTCACGTATAAAATCCAGAGTCATAAATTGAGAGAGAACAAACAGACAGACAAACGCAAAGAGAGTAGTAGTATTTTTCTTTAAATTTGCCTACCTCTTCTTTCTTTGAGTTTTCTTGTAAGGGTTTGTCTAGAGATGTATCATCACCTTCTGACCTTTCTTCTGCTTCTCCTCTTCCATCTTTATGGTGCTCTTTGCCTTCTTGATTATCTACGGATTCTTCACGTTCTTCCTCTTCTTTTTCTTCTTCTTCTTCTTCTTCATCTTGGCTATCTAACTTCAGAGACAGATCAATTTGCATTACCTTATCTTCCCGCACCATTGAAGATAATAAGTTGCAGATTCTTTTCTCTCTCTCTGTGCTTCTTTTGAGGCACCAAAGTCAATTCTCTCTTCTCTGAGGCGTATTATTAGATAAACAAAGAACGCATCAGTCTCAACTTTAATTGGCTATTTAAATAATAAAAAATAAATAAACAATACATAAAAGAAATAATAAAGTATAATCCAATAAACTGTATAATGTACCCCAAAAGCAATTGGCAAAGGTTGGAGCCTAAATGCCTCGGAGACTCCACACCTAAAAAACAAAAAGAGAAAGGACTCCTTTAAATCATCATTATATATAATTTATATCCATTTCATGTGACACTACTTCTTTACATCAAACCAGGCTTTTCAGTTGGGATGGACCGGATATTCATATGGTGGCCATGTAAAGGAATTGGGATCTGCTCAACATCTCCCCATCAAGAATTTGGTTAAAGGATGAATTAATTAACCTTTATCCACTTAATTAAAGATCAAATAATAAAAAAACTCAGACCACGTGGTTAACAAGAAATGGACACCATAGTACCATACCATATCAATTGCAAATTCTTTTTTTTTCCCATTTTAACTCAATTTCAAAAAAGGGTTTTGTTGGATTTTTTTTTTTTAAATGCACTATCAGTATTATCGGGCCTTCTGTCTCATAGGATGGAGTTCAGATCTACGCCCCACAATATATTCCCGTTGTGTATTGGGAACATCTCCTGATGAATATCATTAATTCTAGTATTATCATCAGAAGATGTTTTCAATACGCGGAGAGGATGTGCTGTGGGATGTTGTGGGGCACCCCCTTTTGGGGTGCAAATGTGAACTCGGTGGAATGTATCTCTTCTCTCTCTCTCTCTCTTTTTTAAACTTTTTAATAAAATTTTTACTTTTATTTCCAAAAAAATAGTTGTTAATTTATGCATCAATATATCAATTTCAGTGAAGGTTTATTTGTGTAACTTTGACCTAGCTTTTGTTATACCAAAAAAAACAAAATAAATAAAAAAGACCTAGCTTATAAAGAAAATGAAAAATAAAAGAAAAGAATCTTGTATTACCTCATCATCCAGGAATACGAGCCCCGTACGAAATCCCAAAAACAAAAGAGCTTTGGGATCTGATCTTGAAAATGTCAACTAGAGGACCCCCTAAGTCTTCTACTCTTTATGATTAAAACCTACTTAAATATTATATTGTCTATCATTCCACCATAACTCACAAGAGTTGAAAAAGATAAATAAAATAAAATAGAATTTCAGTATTCTCTATTCTAACACTACTCTAAGAGCTCTAACTTGAATATTTGTTTTCTCATTCCCTATTTCATAACCCTCCAAGTTGTTGAAAGATTTAAAATCTTGTTGTCTCCTCACATACCACTGTTTATCAGACAACTGATGATTCATTTACCTATTTTTTCTCTGCAATAGAATCTAAGAGGATTGCCAGTGGGCAAGCATGTGTTATTGTTAATATAATATGGTTAGGAGGGAACCATTGTCTGTTGGTACGAAGAACTGCAATGCATTGGTATTGTTTTATCTGGTCCACTAAGTCTCAAAACAATTCCTTAATACCGTATTTTGTGCTGATACAAACCAGATATCTTTGTTTTTTTATTTCTCAAGATGGCCTATTTTAGTATTATAATCCAGACGAATAATTATGTAAATGGAGTTTTTTTTTCTCTTTTTTGATAATACTAGACGCATGTTCTTTTTATTGTTTTCAAGCTTAAGGAAAAATTCATTAACAAATGCTCAGTATAGATTACAGTTAATAAAAATAGTGGAAGAAAAAAGACATGGAAAATGAAGAAATAAACCCATAAATAGAGGATAACTCAATCTAGAGCGTGTTTGGTTTTGTTTATGTTTATTAAGTAAACGTTTTGTACTTGTGTGATTGTAAATCAAAAAACACATTTAATGAAGGCGTTTGTGACACTTAGGCACCATTAAGCACCATTAACCATAGAGTCCAGCTTCTATTAGGGCAGAGTTCATGCGTGCACCATTTATGCAGCATGAGAATGCACCATGTGTCCTTGAAACGTGCTTGCGCTTGAAACGTGTGAGGTGAATTTAGCTCCTCAACAACGGGCCTTGCCCTTTTCACTCTTACTCTCTCCTTCTCCAACCGGTGGCGACCAACAACCATCACTGGTGATGGTTAACACCCGCGACTGGAGAAAACTGGTGGATGAGAAGAGGGGGAAATAAACAAATTTATTCAATAAACGGGAGACTCAAGGCAATTACTCCATTCAAGAACTGTCGTTGCTGTCTTTCTTTTCCATCTAACTTGACTTGCTCTCCCTCGATTCTCATGTTCAAGTGTATTCACCGATGAGTGTAGCAGCGTGAGCACTCTCCATGGTAATCCTGATCACCCAAACCGGCCGACCACTTTTTTTATTAACTACTATTAACAAGTTTTATCGACGTCCACCGTGTCAAGCAAAAGGCCAGAGAGACTGGACCTCAACCAGAGAAGAGATGGAACTCTTTCAAGAATCCGCCATTAAATCTCTTGCAGCTCAAGAAAAATCTCAGGAGAGAGAGAGCCCTGTAAAATACATTAGGTGGCTCCACCAACAGAGCTTTTGCTAACTCTGTAGGAGGTGACTGATCATTGATAGCTTGAATTTGACTCTACGGCAACCCGACGATTGTTGGAACAGAGAACAAGCTGGAGCTACACACCTCAAAGCTTCCCGTTGGCCCTCTAACTCTAGTAATGAAGCTGCCGACTGGATATTATTAGCAACAAAGCTGCCTCATGTGCTTTGAACAGCTTCAACGACAACAGTCTCCTAGAGAGTAGCGGTTCCAACAGCATTGTTGTTTGGGCGGTGGAGATTCAGGCACTTGTTGGTAGGGGTGAACAAACAGTTTATTTGGTTAAAAATCGAATTGAATAAATCAATTATTTTAAAACTGAAATTTTAAATGAAAAATCGAACTGAAACTGAAATATTGAAAAATCGAAATAATTGAAATCAAAATTTTTGTTTGGTTTTCGATTATTTTGGTTAAAATCGAATTTCAATACTATATATATTTTAGTATATATATTAGTGTATATTTTAATATATAATATATATTATACAATGTATGTAATAATATATATATTTTAATACATAATATAATATAATATAACATATTTTATACATATTATATATGTATTATATGTTAATATATATTATAGATAATAAAGTTTGATTAATTTAATTTTTTCGATTATCAAATTTTTAAACCTGAAAATCGAAATAATCAAAAACCGAAAAAACTGCCCCTACTTGTTGGGGAGGTTCGATGCTGTATAGGGACAATGGGGAGAGAAGAGAAGGGAAGAGAACACCAACAACAGTTCAACACGTCATGTTATAAATTTACCCCAAAAATATCTCTTTACGTAAATCTATTTATTTCCCCCTCTTCTCATTCTGTCCCAGATTTACTTTGTTTCCTCCTCTTCTCATCCACCAGTTTTCTTTGGTCGCTGGTGATGGCTGTTGGTCGCTATCGATTAGGGAGGGGGAGAGTGAGAGGGGTAGGGCTGTTCATAAGAAGGCCCAATCCGATTAAACCGACCAATCTAGGTTGGTTTTGGGTTGTACAAATTTCTAAACTGATGATTTGGGTTGGTTTTGATTTTCATACAAGAAAACCGAAACCGATCCGAACCGAATCGACTTAGTTCCTAGTTCAAACAAGAAGTTCCAAAGCCCATTAGAACCRAAACCGACCTAAACCRATCCAACCCGACTCAAACTGACCAGGTCGGTTTTGCTTAGCACTGGGTCGGTTTCGGTTTCTATTTCAGATAACCCGACCAGGTCGGATCGGTTGGAAAAACCATAGTAAACCGACCCAATCTGACCCATGAACAACCCTAGAGAGGAGTGCATTTAATTCACCTCATACGTTTCAAGGATGCGTGGCACATTCTCATTTTGTGAGAATGATGCGCGCATGAACTCTGCCTTGATAGAAGCCAAATTAAAAAAAAAAAAGAAACTGACCCTAAGACACAAAAACAGCTTGATAACAAATTAAAGCACCAACCAGCCATAACAATTAAACTTGAGAGTACAAAAACAACTTGATTGCCAAGAACCCCTTATCCCATCTGGCCAAGGCAAATCTAAAATCTTCAAATTTGGTAGGGAATCAATGTATTCTGATGAGGGCAGATTTGGCCCTCCAGTGAAATTGCGACACGTGGCACCTCGTGACAATCAGGGAGCTCGTCACCAGGCAGTTCTCCACCAGGGAGCTCGTCACCAAGTAGCTCTCCACCAAGGAGCTCGTCACCAGGCAGTTCTCCATCAGGGAGTTTGTCACCAAGTAGCTCTCCACCAGGGAGCTCGTCACTAGGTAGTTCTCCACCAGGGAGCTCGTCACCAAGTAGCTCTCCACCAGGGAGCTCGTCACTAGGCAGTTCTTCATCAGGGAGCTCGTCACCAGGCAGTTC